TGGATGGCAGGAAGCTTGGCCCAGTAATGTATTGGGCCGTACGCACACCCCCGTATTGCCTTGCGGTGGAGGCCATGATTTTCCCTTTTTCCTTTTTCCCTTCGGAAAAAACTGCTTGAAATTTTAAAAAACCCCCCGGGGAAAAAATTCAGGAAAATTTTTGGGGGCCCAAACAGGTTTTTTGGGGGCCCCACCCCCGTTTAATCCAGTCAAAATTTTGGAAAGTTCCTAAGTTTTTTAAACAGCCCTAAAACAAAGCAAACTCATCGAATCCCATTGTGCGCAGGGGGGGACACATTGGGGCCGGGGACACTATTTGGCATGACAGCCCTTGTAAAAAGAAATCCTTAAGGAAATGGTTCCATTTGGGACGGAACCAAATCGAATGTGTGGGAAAATCATGCCATGTCCGGCAGTGAAATCAGAAATTACAGATATAAAAATCATCTTTTTTTAACACGGCTGTATTCATGTGTCACACACTGTACCCCCTCGCTTTCCCGTTGTTATGGAACTCTAAAAGAAACGCGCGATTACAACGCTTTTAGCGGCATCCAGGGGACCTGGCTTTCCGAACAGGCAGGACGGACAACGTATCTAAATGCTGATCAAAAGGAGGACAGCGTTTGTTGACTTCTGAAATGTAGGGGTGGTTTTGGACAGATTTTAATTAAATGGGACTGGGCAAATTTTCAAAATTTAACCCAGATTTAAAAAAGGTTTCTAAACGTTGCTTAACTTCAGTTTAAATTAGTTCTGACCGGGGAAAACCCGACTAAGGTAAAAAAAGGATAACCAATTAATCTTTGTGAAGCCAAATAAATTAACGTGTGCCCTTGGTGCCCCCCTGGGAGCTTAAAAAACCGGGGAGGGGCACAAAACATAAACTTTGTGAAATTCTTATGTTTTATTAAACCAAACAGGGGGCGGGTAAAAAAAACGTTCAAGAATTTCGTGACTTTAAAAAAAAAACTCTGAACAATTTTAAAAAACCCCCATTTCGGAAAAACCCAATGAAAAGAAAAAAAAAAGGAAGCTACAAAAATTTCGGTAAGATCTTATTTATTGTTGGCCCCTTTTATAAATCAAATAAAAGGGATGCCACATGCGCTGAATAAAAAGGGGAAACTTACTCAACCCCCTTACCCCAAAATGCATTTGAAGAAAATAAATATTAAGTAAAAAAATCATAAAAAAAACAAAAAAAATAAAATTTAAAAAGCAAATTTTTGATATTTTTTTGGGGACTGTCCCTTTGAGCTTGTTTCGATCACAGGGCCCAGAGGCTGAAGGAGCAATTTTACCTGGGCTAACCCTGAAGATAGCACTACTGGGTGATCTGAAAAGTCATACTCAATCGATCAATAATACAGTGGGGGAAAAAAAGTATTTAGTCAGCCATCAATTGTGCAAGTTCTCCCACTTAAAAAGATGAGAGAGGCCTGTAATTTTCATCATAGGTACACGTCAACTATGACAGACAAAATGAGAAAAAAAAATCTAGAAAATCACATTGTAGGATTTTTAATGAATTTATTTGCAAATTATGGTGGAAAATAAGTATTTGGTCAATAACAAAAGTTTCTTATGTGTGTGTGAGTATATGTATATATATATATATATATATATATTTGCGAGAAAAAAAAACATATGGGGATTGGAAGTGATGCAGATAATTACATTGATGGAAGTTACAATCTATCTGTCACGGATTCTGCCGAGACTGCTCCTCCTCCTGGTTCGGGCAGGCTTCGGCGTTCGCCGTCCCCGGAGTACTAGCTGCCACCGCTCTATGTTTCGTAGTGTGATTGCTTTTGTCTGTCTTTTACACCTGTGTCCATTTGTGTGTTGATTACTTGTCTTATAAGTTCCTGTTTTGCATTAGTCTGATTGTGTGTTGTTATTTTCTGCCTGTCGTGCAGAGCTGCGTGTCTGCACTCTGTCCATGTTTGGGATTATTGTTTACGCGTGTTTGCGAAATTGCCTCGCCTCCGTCTGTTTTCGAGGTTGTGTTTTGTTTGTTGCTCTTTGGACTATTAAAGTCTTTTGGACGTATCCTCTGTGTCCTGCGCCTGACTCCTCCACCACATCCACATCGGAACTACTGACACTATCTGCAATATTAAAGCTGATCTACCCCCCCCCCCCCCCCCCCCCCCCAAAAAAAAAAAAATAATTGTTTTTTTATTAATAAATAAGAATAATTAAAGAGCAGCAGGAAAATAAATGAACAGTAGGGAGGCTATATACAGGGGGTACCTGTACAGAGTCAATGTGCAGGGGCACCGGTTCGTCGAGATAATTGAGGTAATATGTACATGGTGGTAGAGTTAAAGTGACTATGCATAGATAATAAACAGTAGCAGCAGCGTAAAAGAGAGGATGGGGTGGGGTTGGGGGGACAATGCAAATAGTCAGGGTAGCCATGATTAGCTGTTCAGGAGTCTTATGCCTTGGTGGTAGAAGCTGTTAAGAAGCCTTTTGGACCTAGACTTGGCGCTCCAGTACCGCTTGCCATGCGGCAGCAGAGAGAACAGTCTATGACTAGGGTGGCTGGAGTCTTTGACCATTTTTAGGGCCTTCCTCTGACTCCGCCTGGTGTAGAGGTCCTGGATGGCAGGAAGCTTGGCCCCAGTAATGTATTGGGCCGTACGCACTACCCCCTGTATTGCCTTGCGGTCGGAGGCCAAGCAGTTGCCATACCAGGCGGTGATGCAACCAGTCAGGATGCTCTTGATGGTGCAGTTATATAACTTTTTGAGGATCTGAGGACCCATGCCAAATCTTTTCAGTCTCCTGAGGGGGAATAGGCTTTGTCGTGCCCTCTTCAAGACTGTCTTGATGTGTTTGGACCATGATATTTTGTTGGTGATGTGGACACCAAGGAACTTGAAGCGCTCAACCTGCTCCACTAAAGCGCCATCGATGAGAATGGGGGCGTGCTCAGTCCTCTTTTTTTCCCCTGTAGTCCACAATCATCTCCTTTGTCTTGATCACGTTGAGGGAGAGGTTGTTATCCTGGCACAACACGGCCAGGTCTCTGACCTCATCCCTATAGGCTGTCTCATCGTTGTCGGTGATCAGGCCTACCACTGTTGTGTCGTCAGCAAACTTAATGCTGGTGTTGGAGTCGTGACCTTGGCCATGAAGTCATGGGTGAACAGGGAGTACAGGAGGGGACTGAGCACGCACCCCTGAGGGGCCCCTGTGTTGAAGATCAGCGTGGCAGATGTGTTGCTACCTACCCTTACCACCTGGGGGCGGCCCATCAGGAAGTCCAGGATCCAGTTGCAGAGGGAGGTGTTTAGTCCCAGGGTCTTTAGCTTAGTGATGAGCTTTGAGGTCACTATGGTGTTGAATGCTGAGCTGTAGTCAATGAATAGCATTCTCACGTAGGTGTTCCTCTTGTCCAGGTGGGAAAGGGCAGTGTGGAGTGCAATAGAGATTGCATCATCTGTAGATCTGTTGGGGCGGTATGCAAATTGGAGTGGGTCTAGGGTTTCTGGGATAATGGTGTTGATGTGAGCTATGACCAGCCTTTCAAAGCACTTCATGGCTACAGACGTGAGTGCTACAGGTCGGTAGTCATTCAGGCAGGTTATCTTAGTGTTCTTGGGCACAGGGACTATGGTGGTCTTCTTGAAACATGTTGGTATTACAGACTCAGTCAGGGACATGTTGAAAATGTCAGTGAAAATACTTGCCAGTTGGTCAGCGCATGCTCGGAGTACACGTCCTGGTAATGTTGACCTGCTTAATGTTGAACTGCTTAAAAGTCTTACTCACATCGGCTACGGAGAATGTGATCACATAGTCATCCAGAACAGCTGATGCTCTCATGCATACTTCAGTGTTGCTTGCCTCGAAGCGAGCATAGAAGTGATTTTGCTCGTCTGGTATGCTCGTGTCACTGGGCAGCTTGCGGCTGTGCTTCCCTTTGTAGTCTGTAATAGTTTGCAAGCCCTGCCACATCTGACGAGCGTCGAAGCCGGTGTAGTACGATTCAATCTTAGTCCTGTATTGACTCTTTGCCTGTTTGATGGTTCGTCGGAGGGCATAGCAGGATTTCTTATAAGCGTCCGGGTTAGAGTCCCGCTCCTTGAAAGCGGCAGCTCTACCCTTTAGCTCAGTGCGGATGTTGCCTGTAATCCATGGCTTCTGGTTGGGGTATGTATGTACGGTCACTGTGGGGACGACGTCATCGATGCACTTATTGATGAAGCCAGTGACTGATGTGGTGTACTCCTCAAAACAGTCCTGTAGCTTAGCATCTGCGTCATCTGACCACTTCCTTATTAACCGAGTCACTGGTGCTTCATGCTTTAGTTTTTGCTTATAAGCAGGAATCAGGAGGATAGAATTATGGTCAGATTTGCCAAATGGAGGGCGAAGGAGAGCTTTGTATGTTTAATGTCCCATAGGTAGAATATCCTTGATCTTAGGTCGTCCATTTTGTTTTCCAATGATTGTACGTTGGCTAATAGGACTGATGGAAGAGGCAGATTACTCGCTCGCCGTCGGATCCTTACAAGGCACCCCGACCTACATCCACGATATCTCTGTCTCTTTCTCATGCGAATGAGGGGGATTTGGGCCTTGTCGGGTGTCTGTAGAATATCCTTTGCGTCCGACTTGTTGAAGAAAAAATCTTTGTCCAATACAAGGTGAGTAATCGCTGTCCTGATATCCAGAAGCTCTTTTTGGTCATAAGAGACGGTGGCAGAAACATTATTTACAGAATAAATTACAAATAACGTGAGAAAACACATAATAGCACAATTGGTTAGGGGGTCAAAAAACGGCAGCCATCTCCTCCGGCACCAAATAGTCACTTTGAAATGTTTGTTTTCTTGTTTAAGACAACACAGTGGGGCCTAAATGTATTTGTGTGACAGAAATGTAACACAAACAATATCATACATAATTACTAATATCATTTCTATATTGTCTTCTTTATAAGGTCCTGTGGAAATAAATAAAAATCAACTTAAAGAAGACAAATGTTGTTGCTCGTAGGGAGCGTTTCAAGACTGATGGCTGACTCCAGTAAGACCAGAGACAGATGAGCTGGGGGACTTGTTGACCAGGATCATTCATAGCTATCAACCCCTGTAAGGTATCCCCGATGATGACCATTTGGACAGTTCAGATGGGGGACCGTTCCAATCCTCATTTGGCAGGACACATTCATTCAACCTGTGCTATTCCCGGACTACAGGGAATATGTAATGTTGTCAGTCATCTCTTGCACACCCATAGTAAAAAATGATGTATTGAACTCAACTCTGAATAAATAATGTTCTCTAATGCAGCAATGTAATCATTTCCTAGAGGCAGATGATCACCATAGCTTGGAGGGGATAAGACAGGATGAATGTCAGCCTGCTACATCTGCAGCAACCAGGAGGGAAGATTATGTCACTAACCCGGGTCGGAAGACAAAGACAAATAGGTTGAGCATGCATGAGAAACTAGCCATGGAATTTAATGAGCGCAAACTAGTGTATTTAAAAGAAGATCATGCTATGAAGATGCAAATCCTTCATGTTGAGTTGGCTATGAAGGAGGAGGAGAGAAACATGATGCAGCAGCAGTATCAATGTGTTTGAGGTAATGGTGAAGCACTGCTGTTGAAATTATGACAATGCAGCATCTTCTTGGTTGAAAGCGCAATGTGTTTGCATGAAGATAGGGGGTGAACAAGAAGTTGGTCTGTGCATATACAGTGGGGGAAAAAAAGTATTTAGTCAGCCACCAATTGTGCAAGTTCTCCCACGTAAAAAGATGAGAAAGGCCTGTAATTTTCATCATAGGTACACGTCAACTATGACAGACAAATTGTAGGATTTTTTATGAAGTTTGGGAAAATCCTTGAGTCATGATTTGCACCTTTGCAACATTCAACAATTACATTTACATTACATTTACGTCATTTAGCAGACGCTCTTATCCAGAGCGACTTACAAATTGGTGCATTCACCTTATGATAGCCAGTAGGACAACCACTTTACAAATATTATTATTTTTTATTATGTTTTATTATTTTTTATTATTTTTATTATTATTATTATTATTATTATTATTATTATTATTATTATTATTATTATTATTATTATTATTATTATTATATATTTTGTGGGGGGGGTAGAAGGATTACTTTTATACTATCCCAGGTATTCCTTAAAGAGGTAGGGTTTCAAGTGTCTCCGGAAGGTGGGCAGTGACTCCGTTGTCCTGGCGTCGTGAGGGAGCTTGTTTTAGTGTTGAGTTTAAGAGGTAAAGTAGGGTTAAGGAGTTAGCATTAAGAAGGTAGTGTTAAAAAGTTAGTGTTAAGGAGTTAGTGTTACTTTAAGGAGGCAGTGTTAAGGAGTTACTGTAAGCAGTTAGTGTTAAATTAGTGTAAAGGCAACAAGTGCTGAGCTCTGAGACCAGACTGGACTCACTGGACAGACGATTGCTCTTTTATGTACATTTTTGCACCTCAATTAAGTATGATATGTTACTTTACAAATGCAATAATGGTATGGATTACTTAAGACAGAAACGAAAGTAGGGAGGTTGGTCGGGGACAACTAACATTTGAGCTAATCCTTCACCTCACCCTTTTCCTAACCTTAACCTAATTCACCTAACCAGCAACGTAAATTCTCCTCGAAAACAAGCAGCCTGATCTCAGAGAAAGACGTATAATATTATACATCCTCATTTACATTTACATTTACCACACACGTTTAGCAGACGCTCTTATCCAGAGCAACTTACAAATTGGTGCATTCACCTTATAGCCAGTGGGATAACCACTTTACAATGTTTATTTTTATTTTTTGGTGGGTGGGGTGGGGTAAGGGGGGGGGGGGGGGGTGTGGGGGGGTAGAAGGATTACTTTATCCTATCCCAGGTATTCCTTAAAGAGGTGGGGTTTCAAGTGTCTCCGGAATGTGGTGAGTGACTCCGCTGTCCTGGCGTCGTGAGGGAGCTTGTTTCACCATTGGGGTGCCAGAGCAGCGAACAGTTTTGATTGGGCTGAGCGGGAACTGTGCTTCCGCAGAGGTAGGGGAGCCAGCAGGCCAGAGGTGGATGAACGCAATGCCCTCGTTTGGGTGTAGGGACTGATCAGAGCCTGAAGGTACGGAGGTGCCGTTCCCCTCACAGCTCCGTAGGCAAGCACCATGGTCTTGTAGTAGATGCGAGCTTCAACTGGAAGCCAGTGGAGTGTGCGGAGGAGCGGGGTGACGTGAGAGAACTTGGGAAGGTTGAACACCAGACGGGCTGCGGCATTCTGGATGAGTTGTATGGGTTTAATGGCACAGGCAGGGAGCCCAGCCAACAGCGAGTTGCAGTAATCCAGACGGGAGATGACAAGTGCCTGGATTAGGACCTGTGCCGCTTCCTGTGTAAGGCAGGGTCGTACTCTCCGAATGTTGTAGAGCATGAACCTACAGGATCGGGTCACCGCTTTGATGTTAGCGGAGAACGACAGGGTGTTGTCCAGGGTCACGCCAAGGCTCTTCGCACTCTGGGAGGAGGACACAACGGAATTGTCAACCGTGATGGCGAGATCATGGAACGGGCAGTCCTTCCCCAGGAGGAAGAGCAGCTCCGTCTTGCCAAGGTTCAGCTTGAGGTGGTGATCCGTCAGCCATACTGATATGTCTGCCAGACATGCAGAGATGCGATTCGCCACCTGGTTATCAGAAGGGGGAAAGGAGAAGATTAGTTGTGTGTCGTCTGTGTAGCAATGATAGGAGAGGCCATGTGAGGATATGACAGAGCCAAGTGACTTGGTGTATAGCGAGAATAGGAGAGGGCCTAGAACTGAGCCCTGGGGGACACCAGTGGTGTGAGCACGTGGTGCGGAGACAGCTTCTCGCCACGCCACTTGGTAGGAGCGACCGGTCAGGTAGGACGCAATCCAAGAGTGAGCCGTGCCGGAGATGCCCAGCTCGGAGAGGGTGGAGAGGAGGATCTGATGATCCTCCAAGATGTATGATAAGTTACTTCATCCAATTAGTATGATATTGTACGTGGGTAAGACATATGATACTAAACGTCCTCTAATTCTTATGATATTGTATGACCGCTATTCCATTCATAACGTAACCTAATGTAATATATCATACTAAATGGAGGGAAACAAATTTACTTACCAAATCCTATGAATTGCCCTGAGGCCAGGTTGCTGAGACGGTAATACAAGCTGTCTGTTGAACTTTCAGACTGAGTCAAAGTAACGGTTTGGAGTTCAGAGTTGAGGGGTGTTGACAGGTGTTGCTGGGTGGCACAGGCAGGTCGTGAGGCCCACTTCAGTTTACTGACTTCAAAGCACAGGGAGAATATTGCTATTTTCAGTGGAATTATAGGATACACAGTGGGATCAAAACAAGATTCAAATACGACTGGGATGGATTCGATAAAGGATTCATACAGACTGCACAGGATCAAATCAGACTATACATGATGGATTATAGTGACAGTTCTCATTCCCGTCACCATCTGTTAGAAATCATCACAAATTACAAGGTACTATTTAATTGTTTATTGAGCACAGGTGTGTAATGTGCAGCAGAGCGCCATATGCGCGAGGTGTTGGGAGCCGGGGGAAGACACAGCGGTCACAAAGCAAGCTGTAACGGAAAAAACAAACAACACATTTTAGCCATCTCTGGTCCATTGTTAGACTGATCACCTAATATTGTTAAGAGTCATTATGTTGTGCTCTGTATATGAATATCCGTTTGTGTTTCAGAAGCTGAGCTGTGTACTGACCGTGATGTGCATTCCATTTGCTTCGTGTCATGCCGCCCAGCTATGCTAGTCTAATGCTAAGCTAACGCAGTGCACGGGTTCAGTTTTCCTTTAGTTCATTATATTTATGTTTGGACAAGTTATTTGAAGTTTATTTCATTTTTTCAGATTTGGCATTTTAGATTGTTCTTATTTATGGGACTCTGGCACTGTGCAAAGCCATTCACCTTTGCTTGAAAATACAAATACAACCAGTTGCAACTGTCAACGATCCTCTTGTCCAGCCCTTTGGCACCTTAGACACCTCCCCAGCCGGTCCGCCTCCTTACAATTACAGTATATACAATATTCAGTATTAATGCAGGATTCTTAAACAAAATATTGTTGTCTAGTAGCACATAAAGATGAGGTGGGATTGATTTTGCTATATACTATCCTCTCTACTTAGTGAACTGGTGGATGGTGGGTCAGGTCAGTAGACACAGCATACAGTACAATGTATTCACAAACCCACAACAAACAAACAGGCATACTTATAAACAAGTGTGTGCTTCCAAACCAAGGGATGCGGAGGAGGCTTTGGACACAATGTACATTTCAGAACTCTTCTAAATTGGGCTCGCCTCAGTTGCTATGGCAATGGCGACAGATGGCCACACACTTCCCATGAGTTCCTCTTGTCTGACTCAAAATATACAGCCACAGTTCTGACAATACACACACACACACACACACACACACACTGAGTACTGAGTACTGAGTACTGCTGGGGTAGAGGTATCTGGTATTTTGTGCCCCTGTCACTCGTCCCCTAAAGGCAAGAGTGCCAGGGTGAGGTCTAGGAACCAGCTGTCTCATATTTCTGATACACTTGCTGTCATTGACAAGTGCATGCATATACTCTTTCTCTGCCAATACACACACACACACACACACACACAAACACACACACACACACACTGTTGTCTCAAATACACATCAGTTCCTCCTCTCTCTTTTCCTTTTGACATGCTTTTGACACACCCACAAACACACAGAGATCCTCCAAAGTTCTCCAGTTGTGATCTGACAGAGTAGAAGACAGTCCTTTCTCATCTCTTCCAGACATAGATCTGACAGAGCGTGGAACATCCCTCAGCAGTCTGCTCCAACCAAGATAAATATTTCATTTATACAGGTAACTGCCCAAATAAAGGAAACACTAACATAAAGTCTCTTAATAGGGCACTGGGCCACCATGAGCCAGAACAGCTTCAATGCACCTTGGCATAGATTCTACAAGCAGGGCTCTAAATTAAAATATTTCATTGGTAGCACTGGTGCTCCCAACTTAAAAAAGTTAGGAGTACGACATTACATTTAGAAGCACCAGAAAATAATATTTTGTAAGGATAAAGTGACTAAGGGGACAGTTGAAATTGGCGAGGGGCCTACATTTTGGGGGTTCTTGCACTGGAATTATATACTGAATTCTGCTTATATTATCACGCTATACCACAATAAACATAAAGTTCAAATTTCTGAGATCATTGAGTGCTTTTGAAATCTGTAGCCTATCTCGGCTGCACTGTATCAGCATAATGGACAGCGCCCTACAGCTAGGCCGTTTTGGTAATGAACATAGGCTACAAGATAGATAGGGAAATTCACCTGTTACAAACAGCCTATGTGAATGCAGTCATACACACAGCTGTCTTACCAAAATAATGCAAACTAAATGCTGAAAGGAGTAGCCAAGTTATTCAGGCATGCAAACAAAAATACTGAATAGCAGTTTGGCTTAAAATACCGACACAACTGCGAATGTGAACGAATGAATGCGAACAGAAGAAAACAGTGGTACCAAGTAGTAGGC